TTTTTCTCAGATCTGTGACAATTCACCATTTACACCCTAACATCAGTCTACAAGTTCTCCATACTGGTCTCTATACATTTCCCATTTCCTTTCTGGAAGGAGAATTTGTCTAATAACCAAAAGGTTGTTATGTTTCTGATCATTTCCTTTATTCTTACAACCGTAATATTTTATCCAAGGCTGGTACTGTTGGGAGAAATTAGATGCTTGTCATTCTCAGGGGTTAAAAGGTTAACCATAATCTGAGACAAAGGAAAAACTGGTTTTGAGAATTTGGAACTGGTTCTAAAACCTCTGTAAACTTTTCATGGACACTCACTCTTTGTGCTTGTCAATTTTTTCCACAACACAACTGAAGGCAGTACACACCTAAAATATATTTTAAAAGTTAATTGTACACCTAACGAACATACTTTTAATGGAATTGGAGATGTAGCATTGCCCAAAATGTGGGTATTGTTAGTATTGCAGTAAAAGGTGATGATAAGTTATCAGTATTGTACATTAGATCTTGAGATAGTCAGTTGATTGAGTAGTAATGTGTTTATTTTTTTAATTTCTGTGTTAACAGGATTTGAACAGACAGGTAGTCAAATCAGATTCTGCATCATTTACCATTCCAGAGTTGGAGTTTGAGAGTCCTGCTTTTTCCCAGAAAGGAGGTAGCAATGATATCATTGCCTTTGTTAATTTTTTTTTTATAACTGTGTAATCAGTGACTTGCTGGTAATTGTTTAGGCAATATGTGTATTTAAGAGGTACAGAGTGAAGTAGAATCATTCTACCACCTGAGGGAGGCTGTTTTTTTTTTTTCTCTCATGTGAGCTTTGATACAAGTTACATTTAATTTTTACATATTTTTTGTAGATGAGTTTTGCTGTGATTACTGATCTTATCAAAACATGTTAAATGCTTTTATTAGGTTGCTAATTGACAGAAAGCAGTGTACAGACTTGCCCTTTTGTTTTGTAATCTCTAAGTCTGCTTGTGAACTGATTTTTCTTTTTTCGCATAGAACTTACCACCATCGAAGGACTTTTAGGACGTGCCATCACTGCTTTGGAGCAAGATCAGCCAGTTAGAAGGGTAAATTATTGATAAAATCATTGATAATTCTATACATGTAATCGTAGGCTTTACCTGGATTAGTTTGATGCAAATTAAACTGAGCATAACATGATCCAAATCATGTGAATAAGAGTATGGCCAAGTAGTTAAGGCACTGTTGGTCCCACATTCAAGTCCTCCATCCTGTTACTAGCTGGATTTGTTTTCTATTGCCCCACAATGGACACCTTGGCAGCAGTCTCCATACAGCAAACTTGTCTGCCTCCTGCCAGATAGGAGTTTTTAAACTCTATGTTTATTCACAATGTTTATGTACAATCTGTTTGTATTGGCCTTTAAAAGCCCCAATTAATGTTATCATCATTATTATTATTATTATTATTACTACTATTATTATTGTTGTTATTGTTATTATTATTATTATTATTATTATTATTATTATCATCATTATTATCATTTTCATTATTACTCCCACAAAGACTGTTTGAAGCATGGTCTGCCTACCAATAGTTAAATTGAAACAAAGAGAGAAAATCTATTGCTCTACATCAAACAACACTCTGAAACATTGCCTTGTAGGTGTAAATCCAATTTTTTTCCTTTTTTTAAACACAATAGAACCCCGCTAACTTGAACTCCCAGGGGGAACCAAAAAAGAGGTTTGCTTTAGCAGGGGTTTGAGTTGGCTGATCTCCCAGAGAGATCGGACCTCTTTCGAGCTACCAGGGTTTCGAGGTAACAGCGTTCGAGTCAGTGGGGTTCTGTTGTACAATACAATAATTGTAAGTTGTTACTGTACGTCAAGTCACCGATTGATTTTTGTATTTCCGTTTGAATTGTGAACAGATCATGGATCTTGACAATGCAGTGAAAATTGATGATTTTGTGGCGCAGTTGACAAAATGCCGCGATGGAAACCGGAAGTTCACCCTTCACCTGGATGATTCATCTGGCAACAGTTTCATCGAAAATCCACATGCCCCTAAAGAAGATCCACAGATGACCATGGTGTATTATCGCAGAAACGCAGAACAGAACGCCCAACTAGGACTTCAGCCAGCCAGTCAAACAGAGGAGAAACAGGAAGAGGAAGAAGGTCAGATAACAAGGTTTTCATTGAGAAATATCAGTAGAAAAGTCACAGGAGATTGATATCCAACTGTACGTAGAAGTGCACAGATAACGCGCGAATTCCGTGCAAAAATCCTCTGTTTATTTGGAATGTTGGTTATTTTGTACTAGAAAAAAAAAGCGAGTGTTATGTAAGACCTGTCACAAACCGCTTCTCCATTTGCTTAGCTTCTCCCGCCTCATAAGAAATGCATAGTAAAATTGAGTAGCCTTACCCCCATAAAAATAATTCCTAGGCATGTCATTGAAATAGGTTAGGTTCTCAGAGCAGGAAACATAAATAAATGCAAGAGCGTCGCGAAATTTTCCCCCACCCTCCCACCCCTAAAATTGCTGATTATCAACTTGCGAGCAGGCCCTCATTATCAGGGCTTTGGTATCAGCGTTTTTTTGCCCTTGGGAAAGTATGAGCGATGCGAGCTGGCGAAAGGTCTGTAAGCAGTCTAACACTGATTATTAGTGCCAGACTTCCGACCAGCCTCTTCCTTTCTCGTCTCAAATCTTCTCGCGGGCGGAAAAAGACGTGTCCTGACTGTTCAGCAACCGTGTATCGTATAGTTAAATGTGCCCCACTTATCGCTCTCCTCCCCTCCAGAGCACGAGTCTTTAACTTATTTCAGATTTGTTGTTTTGACAATCTTAAATTAAAGCTTGAAAACTGAACATGATCATGTTACAGTTTCTCTCTTACAGCTTGATATCATTTGTTAGTATTCACCTTGATATCATTTGTTAGTATGCAAAGTTTGACTCTGTTCTTTTCCACGTTCCCACACACAGAGGAAGAGCAAACAAATGTAAATGACGAGGTAAGAATTGTTTCGGTTCCTAGTGCCCTGTTTTACAATCTAATACCGTGACATATATTACATGTTCTGTTGCCCCAGTATGCTTAAGTACCCAGTAGGTCGAACAATGATGTTGATTTCTACCGGAATAAGCACCAACGAAGGCCAGGTCCTTTAGCTTCCGAGTTAACTTTCTCTCTCCTCTTTCGTTGCTTTTTTGCAGGTGTTAAATTTTCCAACAAATTGTCCTTCGTGTAATGCACCTACAGAAACCAGAATGAAGCTTGTTGGTATCCTCTTTTCTTACTGCCGTTTTATTTGTTTTCAGTTTAATGCTATTGTTAGTACTTTCAAATCAAGGTAGTTCGTTTACATATCTCAACTGCTCGATTAATGTGTGACTGTGTGTGTGTCATTCTGTCCCCTCGTTTGTCTCTCTGTTCATTGGTCTCTACACGGGTATCCCTCTGCGTCCGTACGCCCCTGTGTTTTTTTGTCTGTCCGTCCGTACGTACGTGCGCTGGTACTTACGTTTGTCTCTTTGGTATTTTGTCTTTGATTTTTCCGTTGTACCTATGTAATATATACTTACAGTCATCAACGTTCACTGTTCATAAAATTTTATTCACTGTCCATCACTTATAAAACCGGATTTACCTTAACCAGTATATCAGCTATACCGCATTTTAAAGAAGTGGTGATTATGGCGACCAATTGCGATGCTTGCGGGCATAGGTCAAATGAAGTCAAGTCTGGCGGTAAGTAACTGGTTCTTGGTTCGTTTCTGTTGTTGCAGTTGCGTTTTTTTATATGCTTTTCGGTTTGTGGTTCGCCTGACCCGTCTAGTCTTCTGTTACGCTTAATGCGCGCCTGCGGGGCTCGGATACTAGCACTGCCACGACGAAGAAGACGATAACATCTACTCCGCGTACGCGCACATCTCTCGTGTGTCTCCCCCATTCATAGTCAAGAGTGGGGAAAGGACTGGGGACGAGTAGCGAGGCGTGTTCTCTGAACCAGCGTTGTTGACGGCGTAATATGAATTGGTCCTCAGTTCCCAGTCAATTGAACTTTCTGATCAATATTTGTTTTAGCTGGTATGGAACCTCATGGAACGAGACTCACTCTCAGGATAACAGATCCTTTGGATCTCAACAGAGACTTGCTGAAGGTACAGCTTCAACTTTTGTTTGCAACATTGGATCCTAAAATCTTATTCTGAAATCGTAAGAACGGGGAGCTGAGGTTTTAAGTTTTTCGTGGCGATTTTCAGGGAAGAATATGACTAATTTTTCCGGAATGCTCGCGAGAACTGGTTCATGGCTTATGTTAAACTTTTCCTTAGCAATGTTGATAGAACAATATTACAATTTTTTTTTCCTCGGGAATCCTCTTGGTTAAAGTCTTCCATGCTAGTTTTTTCGATAGAGATTTGGTGGAGGAGAAACTTGTCCGGAGTGCAATTTGCTTGTGCTGGTGATATGACAGACAAAAATTGATGAAGAAAATTTTTAAGGACGGAAGGGAAAAGTGGCAAAAATTTTTCATAGAAGAATCCGCTCGCTTAACGCTTTAGCCCCTAAGAGTGACTGGCATCTGATTTCTCCTTACCATATAAACCCTGAATCAAACATTTAGGTCAGGAGAATAAAGGAACTGATCACCAACTCAAGAAACTCTTGATTTTTAAACACATTCTCCTTGTCAGCTCCTTAGAAAATGTATAAAAAACAACTTATGGAGAATATGCATATTGATGTCAGGGTGTAAGGATTTAAAAAAGCTTTTTATAGAATACGGCGAGTTATATATGCTGCGCCTCGAGTGATTCTTTTTTGTTTTTACCTTATTTTGATGTCAACTGCAATCTATTACAAGAAAAGACGCACGACAACACGGGATGTATTTACTAAGTATATTAAAGACAGATTTTGTTTTGGAAAAGTCGTCTTTTGTCCGAGAGATGGCTGTTTTAACTGATTCCACCGTGATCTTACGTCTATCTTTATTGCAGTCAGAAACGTGTGAAGTATACATGCCATCATTGGATTTCCACATCGCAGCCGGCACACTGGGTGGACGATTCACGACATTAGAGGGCCTTTTGTGTAATATAAAGGATCAGGTACGTGATACTCATCTTACATAAAATATATTTTATATCGCGCGTGAGATCGGGGTACGGGTGAACACAATTGGACCAAATGCTGAAGTATTGCGAAAGTAAATTAATTAATCAGGGGTTAAGCCGGTCTCCACGCATCGTTTTCTACCAGTCAGAACTGATCGCTTCATTTGTTTTCCTCTTGTAACAGCTAAAGTCGCTGAATCCTTTTGGCTTTGGAGACAGCCCGGCTGAATTCAGTGCAAAGATGAAAACATTCATCACCAACTTGGACAAGGTAAAAACTGTTATTCCCCACCCCACCCCCCCTTCCCCGCTCTCCTATCTCCTCTTCCTTTTCCCTTTCTTGTTATTATCTCATCCCTTAACTCTTCAACTTCCAAGATCTGATCATTAATTCTCCCCTCTAGCTGCTATACATTTCCTTGTAAATTTGTTACGAGAATTTAGTGTTAGATCAAGATAGCAACTTCCACTTGATAAGTTTGAATATTCTCATTACCTGTTTGCTGGATTGGGTATGGATATTAGAAGGAGAAGTTACGTGTTAATCACTTCCGGGAGCTGAAGGGCTAAGTTACCCACCTTCCCCGTTTTACTGATTTTGTTTTCTTACTGGTTCCTCTCTCTTTTCGTTCTTTTCCCTCTCCTTTCTAGTCTCCAGTCCTCTTCTCTCCTTCCTCCCCTTTTGCTTTTGCCTTTACTAACGTCACCATCTTCTCGTTCGTTTCTTCTTTCCTGCTCAAGTCTTTTGTGGAGACTTCATCAATGCGTGCGTGCATCAACTCTTTCCTGACTCTTTCTTTGTGTCTATTTTAAGCCCGCTCTACTCAATTTATTGCGCAGGTAATTAATGGCGAGGAAATGAATGTTCTGATCACACTGGATGACCCGGCTGGAAACAGCTATATTCAGGTAATTTTTCTTAAGCCCACGGAGTAAGTAATATATTGTCCATTTTTGAAAATTTAGCCTCAGTCAGCATATTTAAGCGAGTAAAGGCAAGCACAAGGCGAACTCGAACGGCGAGTTACACGCGCGCGAAAGGGCTTTTCTTTTCGCGCTCGTACCCATTAGCGTGACCCGCCCTTTTCTTCGCTTCATGCAAGTGGAAACAGTGCAAGGCGAACTCGATAGGCGAGTGATAAGCCATGGAAGAAGCTTTTTTTTCACTTTGCGCTACTACCTTCGCCCTTAACACACACTTTCTAAAAAGTGAAGTAAGCGCGAGGCGAACTTGCAAGGCGAGTCATGCGCGAGATGAGCGTGAGTGTGAGTTACGCACAAGGGAACGAGTCTTTTTCTTCCCACGTCTTCCTTCGCGCCCGAATCGCACTGGCCTGTGCCTCAAGTAAGGGGAAGCAACTATGAGGTGAAGTCGAAAGGCAAGTTACTCACGTGCAGAGGTGCTTTTTGCTCTACGGGATATGTTTAGACTCGTATCTTTGTCAGTTTTCAACATCTAGCCCTAGAACTTGGCAGTATTACAACTTTTACGGAGCTATTTCCATAAGTTAATACGTATTCCCGCTGACTGGTCTCAGTCAAATTGTGGGGAAAAAAGTCGTGGAAAACAGGAGTCTTTTGATTTTATCATCATGACTCAAGACAGAACCCTTTCCTCTTTACAGAATTTGTATGCTCCAGATCCAGACCCTGAACTGGAAATCGTTCATTACCCAAGAACAAAGGAACAAGAAGACGATCTTGGAATATCAGACATGAAAACAGAAGGATACGAGGAAGACAATCAAAGCTGATATTGAAGTTCTTACATTCTAGTTTTTCGAAGATGAAAATTTCTCTATCACAGTATGACTTCTATTACAGGAGTTCTGTACTCAAAACTGACCAACCAGTTTACAAGAAACAAGAGATGAATGGGCCCTGCCATCTTTGTCATCAATGCCTATTTCGGTCCTAAGCACCAACTGGTAGGGTTTAGGGAAGCTTCTTCCCACTGCAAGTTCGCCCCTATGACGATGAGTTAGCCTCATCAAAATTAACATGGTCGTCTCTACCACCACTCTCCGAGGTCGAGGCGAACTGGTTGAGAGCGAACCTGCAATGGGACGAAACCTCCAGATACCACTGGAAAAGCTGAATTTAACGCGCTTTTCGATAGAGTGTCATAGAATAAAAACCAAATTAATAACAATGGCCAATCACTGAAAAACGAAAATGCATTTAAGAGCCAATGAGAACTCAAGGAAAAAATAAGCAGTCTGCCCAAAGCGCGGGAAAACGCGAGCAACCAAGTCATGATTGGTTTTAGTTTTGCACACCGAATTGGTTGAGAAAGTGATGCGAGTTTTCTAAACTAATCACAGAGCGAAATGAAGAAAAAACAAAGCAATCCCAGATTTCTTGCGTTACTCAATGGAAAATTGCTCTAGTCTGACTTATGATGTGAATGGTCAGTCTTGTTTTCGTGACCGCAGTTAAAGTCGAGGCTCTGGAACTCTAAAGATTTTGTGCTGGGCTTGTTTTAGATTCTTCCTAAATCACTCTGGTCTTATAATATCGCCTGCTTCTAGAACAGAAAGAATGTAGTGAAGAGCGATGTTGACAACTGAACAATAGCTACAACAGTTAAAGGAGCAAAGGGGACACGTTTCTAAAGAAACTGTGGTACTGCGTGTGGGGATATCATAACGTAATCTGGTTTTATCAACTGAGTTGTTAATGTAAATCGGTCACTATAAACAATCTCTAAATCTGACGCTCTGAGTGTTCGCCCCTTTCGTAATTCGCTCTGACGAAGGGTTTTTGCTCGAACCGTCAGCTTTAGGAAAACTTCATGGTGGCCAGTTGAAGGAGTAGTCACGTGGTGTGCGCGATGAAACAACTTCTTTTATCTTATAAAGTCAGATATTTTAAGAAATTTTTCGTGTTACGTGTGATGTCATTTCCAGATCCCATATAACGCTAAGGAAATCCAGATTAAACATAATAAAATTATTTGAAAAGTGATGCTCGCAATATTCACTCTAACTTACATGGTAGAACTACATGGTAGAACTTACATGGTAGTTTCTCTCTGCCCCAAAGATCACATCTGAGAATAGCTTTCCGCCCACGCTGTCAAGAGGGTCACTATTGGTGCTAGCTGATTAGCTTCCGAACAGACCCTCATTAACTTGCAGGAAGCGCTCTGCCTGCGGGAAGGAGACAAGTCAGGAGGAGATTTGTCTGGGGTCTGGCACGAACCCGAACCAAACCTCTCGCCGGCTTGCGTTGGTGAAGACCTCGTAATTACCAGCCAGCGGAGAGATACTTCTGCGGAAGCGCTGATGATGAAGCTATTAACTGATCGTCTCGTCCAGAAAATGCCCCAATGTTGGCAGATACGAATAAAATTACACTCATCATTTGCTGTTACACTTTTCAGCTTACCAAGCTAAAATATCGGGAGCCCTTAGCTGTGTATTCTTCACTTCTCCAGGAGACCGTGATTAATTTTCGATTCTTTTTTAGTGTTGTATATATGCCGATGTATGAAATTTACTATAATAATTTTTTTGCTCAGTGCAAAACATAGAGAGTTTCCCTTTAAACGTGAAACTCGGCTCTTCGGTGAGAGTAAAAGAGACCTTAAGGAATACCCTAAAATTATTCAATCTTTTCTCCTCTCTACCAAAAAGACAACACACCATCCGTCAAATAATCGTTCACAAGATTTTTATCGGCTTTACTTGTTGCTGTGTTGAGTAGGATCCAGGCTTTTCTAAGACAACGCTTACTCTGTGCAATAGGGGAGGGCTTCTCCCGTAGTACTCTCAGATTGAAGAAAATTTCGACCTACGTTTATACACCTCCTTATTTTGGTAGTGCCCCTACCACCCCTCCCTCCAATTGAACTGTAGTCCATGGCAACGAGTAATGCATCGTGGGTAGTTTTGTCGTGCCTGAAAACTGGATTTTCTTGTGAATGTTTTTTGGTGTTTAGTTAATTTTCTAAACCGCACAAAATGATGTAATTTGTTTTTCGATGTATGCTGAATGGAAAGCCTCGAAGAAAGACAAAGCAACAACGGCGCTGAAGACAAAATAACGACCTTTGCGTCGCCTACTGTTTTGGCCGCCATATTGGATGAAGAACCGTCGGATGAAGATGTTATTCGTAGCATGGTCGCGTCCAGTGGTCAGGAAGAACAGACGGAAAGGGTCACTGATAGTTTGGAGTCTTCATTAAACGATTCCCTCGAGTTCTCAAAGCCTGGAGAATTAAACGAACCCAAACGAGTTGAATCCACCAAGATGAAAATCGAGCCTTCGCAGGTAGAGACTTCGGAAGACATTTCGGATATTCCCAAGAGTTCTACTCCGCTACTAAATGACAACATGAAACACAGCAAAAAAGTCGGAAAGCCTAAACCGCGAAAGCCACAGCACATTATAGAAAGAAACAAAGAGAGGGTTGGGAAGAAGGTTCCCGAGAGGACTGGCTATGCTCAAGTTCACGGAATGAGGACGATAAAAAAGGTCGAAAAAATCAAAGAAAAAACTAGAAACCAAACCGAAGAAGCTGCTGCGAATGTACCTGGCTCAGGCTTAGAGAGTCAGTCACAGCATTCTCACAAAATCAGTGATGATTTTAATAGCCAAAACTCTGTAAGTCCAGTTCACTATGATAATGATCAAAACTTACTTGGAGACAGCTCTCTAGAGAAGTCACTTGACACATATCACAGTCATTCACATGGTCCCTACTACGATGTCAGCCAAGACTTTGGCTCATACTATAATCCTTTAGAATCAAATTATTCAGATCTAGTTGGTTATAGCAGAGGATACCAAAGTGCTGCAGCAAACTCAAGACAGAGGCATTCAATGGCTGGGTCTTTTCAACCAACACATTATAACTCTCTCTCCACCCAGTCTGCACCCCCAGGTGTTTACGGTTACCAGCGTACACCTCTCATCTCCAGTGTACATAATTTGCACGAAGAAGATTATAATTCATCATCAGCCTTATCTGACACTGATTTTCAAAATTTACAAAAAGCAAACAAATTCCCAGAATCCAGTTTACACAGGAAATTTTCCTCAGAACCGTACTTAGCAAATCCAAGTTCTTTATCATTACATGGGATGGCAGATGCTGACAGAAGCAGTAAAGCATCAGGAAGTTATTCCAGCTTAAGACAACCATTGTTTCAGTACAAACCATACAGCTTAAAGGACTACAGAAATTTTGTTGGCTCTGAGGTTGAGCGGCCTGCTGGTGGCTTAGGACCAAACAATGACACTGATGACTTTAAAGAGAAGGTAAAGATTGTTTTTTTTTTTAATTGAAGCATTCAGGGTCATCAATACAGGCTGACAAACAGTGCATTCTGTTGTCTATTCTGAAAGCGTGTGGGTCAATTTTCAGCAAGAGAGCATGACATTATGCAGCCTACATGTTTTTTTTTATCACAGTCAGCCAACTCAAAACCTTTTTAACAATCTTGCACAGTTAAAAATTACCAGTCCATTTGCTGGAGTCAATGGTTTGAGCTTTTATGGTCTGCAAGTTGCTTTTGGCAAGAGGTATATTTGCTGGTTCATGTACAAACCCAGGCAGGGTTTGCATCATTTATTTGGGGATTATGACCACATGTAAAACATGCATTATGGGTACACTCTAATCTAATTAGCAAATAGATTCCATGTTGCCCTGGATCTGTTCAGCAACATATGTACAGCTGTAGATCACAAATGATGTCAAAATGCAGTAAGAACGAAATAGTGGCACACAAGGCCCGTCATAGAGCATGACTGATGTTCTCACCACATTTTGAGGTCACAGTCACACTGTACACACTGGGAGATGCAGCAGACTTGGTTGGTACACTGGACTCTTCATCAAAAATTCAGGTTCAGGACTTGGTCAGGGTTAACCCATTACACCCTGACATCAGTATAGATTTTCTCCATAATGTTCTCAATAAATTTCCTATGGTACTGACAAGGAGAATTGGTTTAACAATCAAGAGCTTCTTTAATTGGAGATCATTTCCTTTATTCTCATAACCTCAATGTTTGTTTTAGGGGTGATACTGATATGAGAAATTAGTTGCTAATCACTCTCAGGGGTTAAAGGGTTTGAATGCATTCTGTTCATGGGCTAGTCATTCTACTCTCACAATGCCTCTTGTCACCCAGGAATATAAATGGGTATTGGCAAATTATCAGGGAAGCTTCATGAAATGCTGAAGGCTCCCTCAAAACGGACTGGCATCCTGTCAGGGATCCTATCATACTGCTAGTGACTTCATACTAGGCAAACTGGGATAATCTCTGGTTGTATGGGCCTCTTGACTTGAGTACAGACTTAACGTACCTTTAACAGGGTATGAAATAATGTACTTTGCAAAAATTGCCACAACTGTCCTTAAAATTTTTAGATGAGAAAAGTCAGTAAGCAAAGAGAGTATGCAGCAATGCTGAGGGCCCAGCACTCAACCATGAAGAAACAGCAGGAGAAAAAAGGATCAATTCAACAGCCAGTTAAACCTAAACATATCAAGGAGGCAGAGGCAAAACGACAAGCTGTAAGTAGTACATTTCCATTGATGGGGTACTTGAGGTCAAGAGTAATCTTAACACATAATACTCATGCAAGAATTGAATTAGCCTTAGAACAGGCATTCACTTGTGAGGCAGCCCCAATGACGAAACCCTCAAAATTCAAGGCAGCAATCATGTGAGAGGCCTGGTCATGCCAGATCTCTTGAAAACCTCACTTATTGGTTAGAAAAGCCCTCTGACCCTGCTCAATGGCTAGAATTGCACGCTCTTTGAAACTGCTCACTTTGTCTTTCAGGCTTTGACCTATGCCAAGAATGTCCCTAAACCAAAACAGATGGTAAGCAGGAGGAGAGGTAGTCCAAGAATGAGTGACACTCAAGCTGATGATGACCAGGAAATTACAATACTCGAAATATTGAGACTGAGACATGAAAAAGAGAAAAAAGAAGTTGACACGATAAGGAAAGATCTTGCTTCTAAAATACGACTCTAATGCATACACCACCTGTAAATGTTTGTAGGTTGATGCAATTTGTGTATTGGGTGAATAACATCCTTAGGCATCATTAGAAAGAGAGATTTTTTAGGAAGAGGGATATGTAGATAGATTAGAAACTGCTGTGCTAAAGAAACAGTGGAAGTTCTACCAGTGCAGGCCATGTGATTATACCACAAAATAAACAAAAAATGATTTTAGTAGTATCTATATGAGGTAACTGGGATGCATCTTTCAATGTGGCATTGTACCTAGAAATCTGAGCCTTGATCATGAGTGCTGAAAGAAAGTGTCTAGTTAAAAAAAAAATACATATATTATGGACAGCATTCAGTGTAACAATCATATTTGTGTGGTGTGAGGTTCTGAACAGTCTCGTTTGAACTTAAACAAGCATAAATTCATAAATTGTGATTCAAACAAATATAACAAACATTTTGAGGGCCCTTTGACAGACATAACTTGCCAAGGTAGTCTCAAATATTGTTCAAAAGCACAAAGTGAAAGACAGGAAGATTGAAAAAGATACAAGTAATTATCCATTCAGTCAATTGACATTTTTTTTATTACTGGTAATAACATATTTCAGTTGTGCTCTATCCAATATAAACAGAACCCAGATTAAAAATTTTCAAAGGTGACAAACTAGTCAATGCTCTGAAAACCAAGTAATTTATTTTGTTATTAATTTTATTTATTTTATTGAATCTATTGCAAAGTTTCTGTACATATTGGATCATACATGCATGTAACATGCATCTTTTAAAGAGTGCCATGTATTAAAGTTTCCCTATGTTTTAAAAAAAGCCTATTAAAAGATTGTAACTGTAAATACATAATTATGTTTGCAAACAAGAGAATCTTTATTACAAACTGAAGACTTGAGTCATCTTTGCTGGTACTATTATTAAATTTTTTTTGCCTAATGAGTAAAAACAATTAGCCAAGTTAGTCTTCATTAAATTCAGACTTCGTACCATTTAACGCAGGAAAAGAGTCTCTGGGTTAACAAGTTGTTTCATATGCAGCACACAAAGCTAAGACCTTAAGAAAAGTCAAAAGTAATACGAAGGTTAAACATTTTTATTATCCTTCAGTTAATGTCATCTCTCAGTTAGTATGTGCACTATGATTAGTCAATTTAGCATTATGATTGGTCAATTTAGCACCCTTGACCATAAATCCAGGAAATACTTGGTCTGCAACTTACAATACTGACTTCAAACTCCATTACTAAGAAGTATGAATTGGCATGGGTAACAGATACATCATGAAATTGCAAGCACCTGCCACCCTTGAATGCAGCATAGACATTTGCAATCTTGCTGTTGACCCCCCCTCATCCCCCCTTAATCTCAATGATGCCCACTGCATGGAAGTGATGCCCACTACATGGAAGCGGGAAGGGAGAGAAAAAAGTCCCCTTTCAGCCTTCACCTTACACTCCCAGGATGCTTATGTTTGCTTCTAGTGATATGGACCTTGACTAAAAGCAAAGAGCAGGTCGGACTCTGATTTCAAGTGAGCTCACTTCTTCAGTCCATACCACAAATGAGAATCCTGTGCACAAGGTATTATGTCTCTCATCTTTAGATGAAGTCACAGTGCCAGCTGCTCCACAATCACCCTAGAGATAAATAAAAGAAGAGAAGCATGCATGTCTAAAGAAATTATTCACCACCAGGTTGTTCAAAGCTGGATTACAACAACCCAGGGTTGATGTGAAACATGATTCCAAATTGGAAAGCTTTAAAAGAAAATTCAGTAGTGCTACTTTTGTATACAATTTGATGATTGGATGCCCTGAAAAGAATAGAGAAAATCATACAAAAAAAGCTTTTTAGCAAAAGAATAAAGAAACCCTGACTAAAAATTTTTTAATTTAAAATATTAATTTTAATTTTTTTTATTTAAAATATAAAACCCTTATGCATAAGGACCCCTGGATATCTATGGCCAGCCTTCTCAAGTATTTCAATCTCTGTTGATTGCTTGGTTAAATTGGTAATAACCTTTTAACTTCCAGATCAAATTTGTACTTCTCCTTGCTGTCAACCATACAATTTTTATAACTATCCAAAAAAGGCTTTGGAGCAAAGGAATAGAGACCCAGATTAAGATTTTTAATTAAAAATATTAATTTTAAATTAAAAATATTAATTTTAAATTTTTTAAATTTAAAATATAAAACCTTTATACACAAGGACCTCTGGATTTCTATGGCCAGCCTTCTCAAGTATTTCAATCTCTGTTGATTGCTTGGTTAAATTGGTAATAACCCTTAACTCCCAAACCAAATTTGTACTTCTCCTTACTAATTCAACCATACAATTTTTATGATCTTAGTTCAGAGAATTTAGTATTGGATCGACTAATTATCCCCAAATTAATATTTTTCTTTATTCTCATCACTTATCTGGTTGATTTTATATTGATATTGTAAGGAGAGATTCTGTCTTGATCACTCATGGGAGTTAAAGGGTTAAAGTATAGGTGATAGAAAAGGAGGATTTAATGTGTCGTAAGATTCATAGATAAATATAAAACAATTATCTCTGTGTTTCCATCAGAAATGTCTTCTTAGAGTACCCGAGACATGGGTATAATAGATCTTTTGACTGGCTTATTTGCAGTAAAGCAACTAGCGAAACTGTGGCCTGAGATGGCGAAAGATCTCATTTCTGTTTTTTTTAGGAATGAAACCCTTTTCTTCCCAATTTCTTTACATATTTAGGCTTCTCAATTTCTTCTTTAGTTCTGATTACTATGCAATTCTGATACCCAACTCTTTTACACTAGTACATTTCTGTACACTCATGCCACCCCTACAACTTGTTTTTTTCTGCTTTGTGCTCAAAACAATTGATACAATGACTTATCTCAACTTATGTCTGACAACAAAGACAGCAATCCATCATTTCATAAAGAACAGCTTCCTGCCATTGCAGCACACAGAAGCTTTCCTTTTCTTTTTTTTGCACCCATCAACAGGCACTTCACAAGTGAAAACTTTTACACAAAAAAAAACAAAAACAAAAAAACAAAAAAAAGGTAAAAACAATTCAAATTTATCTTTGTTAATGCTTTATTTCTGGTCCAATTGATCCCTTCAGGCCTGTAGGGGATCCCGTACAGGCCTGAATTTTTTTTTTTCAGGTCTTATTTTCACTACTGCCTAAGTAGTGCTCATTGAGATTTTCATAAATTTACAGTCAGTTAATAATGAATGAATAGCCAGTAATCGGATCCTTGGGTTTGGGCAAAGATTTGTGGGATTGCCACAGGGCAAACATTGCAACTCCCTTGAAAGGAATGTATGGCAAAATGTAGTTTCAAGGTCCAAAAAAGTGATTTTGGAGAGAGATTATCACTTTATCGCCCCAGTTTTATCATAAACAAATAAAGATAATGTCGATACAAGGAAAGTGTAAGTATTCATTAGATTCCACGGGTAAGACAACAGGAGTATAGTAAGGTTTAGGCTTTCTCCTCTTTCTTACACTTACCATCATGCTTCATATGTCCTGCAAAGTCCACTCCAATGACATCAAAAAGTGTATTCCCTTCAGTACGTGACTTCAGCAGATGACCTGGTGGAGGGTTACGAAGGGGCTGAGCCTGGAACCTCTTGCAGCCATAGCACTGCTTCACTACTCTCTTAGCAAACCGTAGAAGCCTTGGCAACCTTGGCACTTCAGCCATAGTCATGCTGACTCCCCCATGGAGAGTTGTCTTATGAGCTTGCTTCACTATTTCTACTGTAAAAGACTTAGAATCTGGTAAGTAAATCAGATACTCACCCTGAATGCATCCTCAGTATTCCAATACACCACTGGTGTTTAGTTGCAGATTCAGTTGTTCCTGGTCATGGCAAACTTGACCATCTTTGCCCCTTGGCTCTGCACTTACTTGATCCAAGACATTTCTTGTTGCTGAATTTCTTTGGTCGCAAGAGATCCTATTATCTACTTGAAAGGGTGGCAAGAATTACGATTAAACTGCTAGGTCCATGCACAAATTCTGATGGCTTTACACAAGCTGAACTTCTTAAGTACAGCGTCAAAGTCATTGTTTGCGTCAACAACAAGCACGTTGTCAAAAGACATGGATAACAGTAATGGTAAAGCAAGCTTAAAACGGCAGAAATCGCCAGAAACTACGATGGATACACAGGGCATGAGAAAGTTTTATTGATTTTACGTGTAAAATATTCATATTTCGAAATATTTATCGTTGTAAATCGACCATATTTCGTTCCCCATAGTATTCCTTATAACGTGTTCAAAATTTCAACGGTTCCTCCCGTAACTTAACACCGAGTCACACAACGCGTGACGCGTTCGTGAATTCATCGTTGGCTTTTTCTCGAGACGTGAGCTTGGGCCGCCTGTGTTTACTTCAGCTTTAATTAAATTAGGGAATATGTTAAAACTTCTGTTCCTCAATGGATTCCTTTAATTTGACTACTGCAGTCACTAAGGCCTCAACGGAAACTTTGTCTTTCAAGTCTCCTGTCTTCTTCAAACGAAAATTCAACGTCTTCAATTTGCCCTCAAGATCGGCAATTTGTTTGCCCATGATTCCAACACGGTCCTGGCCGGTAGTTGGATAACGGCGTAATATGTGACTAACACAGTCTATAGACTGTAAGGTTTTACGCCACTAAGTGCGTCGGTGTATATATATGTAAGATTTTAAGCCGTTAACTAACGGCGTAACTACGACGGCTGGAAGAAATTACGCCGTTAGAGACTGGCGTAAAATCTTACATATAAACACAACCGACTGGAAGAAATTACGCCGTTAGTTACTGGCGTAAAATCTTACATATAAGACAACCGAGTGGAAGAAATTACGCCGTTAGTTACTGGCGTAAAATCTTCCATATAAACACAACCGACTGGAAGAAATAACGCCGTTAGTTACTGGCGTAAAATCTTACATATAACACAACCGACTGGAAGAAATTGCGCCGTTAGTTACTGGCGTAAAATCTTACATATAAACACAATTTCGGCGTAATTTCTTCCAGTCGGTTGTCTTATATGGAAGATTTTACGCCAGTGATATATATACATGTAACATTTTACGCCAGTAACATAATTTAATTATATTTTAATTTATTATAATTTAATCACCGACTGGGTTACTGGCGTAAAATCTTACAGTATATAGACTGTGTTAGTCGCATATTACGCCGTTATATATATTCCCCTTGATTTGACGATTCTCCTACCACGCTTCGGTTAACTCCCATTCACAACTCTCGGTTTAGTCGAAGGAAACATATATCAGACGTCCCGTTGTAAGCGTGTGGAACAGTACCATATATGGGGCGATAAAACACGTGACGCATACATGTTTGTTTGGTGGGTGAACGACATCAATCAACCTAAGAATAATTAACGTAGCGTCCAGTTTCTAACACTCTTTCTTAGCTGATATTTCTCAAGTTCAGACCGGACCATCAAAAACTCCGGTTGATTTCTTATATTAAGATGTTCGAAAGCATAGAAATGTAAAAATATCTGGCACTTTTTAATTTTCTTCGCCTGAGTGACTTCAAACTTTTGTTGATTTTGCTAGCGTGACAACAGAATTATGCAAATTACCTATTGAGAAAACTCTAACCAATTCGAAAGGTGTAGTCTCGCCCATGCGCAGACAAAATGCAATGGACAGTTGTGAACGATCAACTAAACGGCAAGATGTACGAGACGAAGTAGAATGAAGGCAACCAAAGCTTAACTGACTATCGCGGTTTTGAGTAATGGAACTTGCTCAAGTATGACAAATAGACGAATTAGATGAAAAGTAGAAACGCTGTTTGGGTAGCGGCTCATTCTGGAATGGGAATGGATAGTCCTTTGACGAAATCCTTGAACATACAAAAGGGTTTGCCATGTTCATGGTGACTTGGGTTACTTGGTAGTTTTGGTGTGAGGACAGGATTTCGTCATGCGTCCAAACTGAACTTTTCGTTTTGATTCTTTCTGTGTCATGGCTACTGTAAGTTATTTCCCCTCGCAGTGTTGTTTTCACTGTCAAGTTGTGGAAGATGTCAAAGAGGAGCACTA